TAAACCGGTCTTGGCACCGAGGATGAATGTGTTGGGGGGTCCGTGTGTGAAATTCTATCAGCAAGTAATTTCTACAGCCAGAAAGACAATACGAGTGGCACAGGGTTGACGGCAGGGCTGGAGACTGTGCCAAGGGCCGGGAGCGGAGCGAGGGCGTGCCGTCTGTCTCCGGGGGCCTGGAGAAGACCGCCCAGAGCGGGAGCCCCCCGAGCAGGGAGGAGAGACAGGTGGGGGCCTCCACGGGCCGCTCAGCACCCGGCAGTCCGGGAGCATGGAGGCTCAGATGGGCGGAGGGACTGGGGCGTGGTTTGGAAGGAGCCAGACTCATTAAGGTGCAGATGTGGAGGGAATCGAGACACCCAATTAAGTGTTTAATTAGTGCTTTACAGGGTCAATTTGCCGAGCGGTTCTTCACGAAGAACCTGCTGTGACAGGGCTCCGTCCCCAGCAGAAACGGGGACGTTTTAAGACAGTCTTGCTGCCTTGGTGCCAGGCCACCAGACTGAAGTGGTGGCCTCCTTGTCCCTTGCACTTTGATCTGTAGCTTATTTCCCCCTAATGCATGTGTTCAGTCTCCTTTTAAGCAAATGTCCCGAGGTTTTTGCTTATGCTTTTTAGCCAATGCACCTTTCAGCTGAAGACACTATATGTGCAAAGTCTTGGACACAGAGGCCCTTCACACCGGTGCCTCAGTCACCTCCCGCCGGGGCAGCAGCGGCAGCTTCTGGGCAGCTCAGGGGAGACGCCTTGTGCCCTGGCACAACGGGAGAGAGACCCTGTGTTCGTTTGCAAAGGAGCGAGTCCATAGGAAGCCCAGGTGGGAAGACCCATGGACAGAGCCATCCCGGTCACAGAGACCGCGGCCTTGACTGCCCCGCCCCGGGCCCAGGGCTGCAGCGCAGACACCCTGTCCTCTGCTCCCTGCTGCACGTCAGGGCCAAGGGTCTCGTGTCTTCCGTGTCTGAGGTCGGACCCGGGTGGGCTGGAGCACCTGGGGGCTGCAGCCTGGGCTGCACAGTGCGCTGTGCGGTGGGTAGGCTGCCAGGCCCCCCTGTGCCCGAGGAAGCTAGCTGTCACCAGCACTCCCTCAGGAAGATCAGCCTTGCGGTGCACTGCTGTTTGCCTGCACCGGGCACTGTGCGTTGCACCACCGGCACCCCCCCGCAGGCGTCCTCCCGCTGCAGGGAAGCGGCGGGGATGGTGAGGCCGGTGAGGCGTGACCGGTTAACCGCGCAGAGACGGGAGCGTGCAGGGCTGAGGGCCCGAACGGGGCGCACAATGCCCCAGTGTCTGGCCTGGGAATGCGGCCCGGGCTCGCCACTGGCCGTCAGGCCTGCCGACAGCATTGTGCTCGGCATTGTGCGCGGTGAAAGGGGCGCGCTCCTCACAATGGGGGGCTGCCCGGGAGGCAGACACAATGGACTCCGGGGCCCAGACGAGTCATTTCAAGGAAACTGACTATGAGATCCGCAGCTTCATTAAGTTTTAAAACGAAACACGAGGGAAAACATAAGAGTTTGCAGGAACGGATTAAAAAACCGTGGGCGATACGTCCCCCGTTCGAAATAACATATCCTTAAAAGCCTTCTTTTAATTGGCACAAAATCGGATACTATTTCTATGTAACTGCAGGGTTTATTTATTCAAATCAGTATTCAAAGATTCTGCCTTGTAATACTTGTTACTGCAGCCCTGAGTCGAGGCTCTTTGTGTCCCCAATACTTTATTTCCAAATGCTGTGTTTTGTGGGGCAGGGTCGGGGCGGCTTTTGTTTTGTTCTGGTTTGGCTTGGCTCTCCCGGCACGGTCGGAAGTGCGGGTCCTGCGTTTCTGGAGAGAGACTGGGGCAGGGGGAGACAGGTGGCAGGCGCTCCCGGCCTCTGTGTGAGGGGCCGTGGGGGCAGACGACGGAGACAGACAGAGAGAGCGGAGGGGAACGTCACTGCCGGTGGCTTTCGTGGTGGCAGTGTCTCAGGCGCCCTAGAGCATGCAGATGGGCAGCGCGGACAGTACTGCACTTGCCTGCGAGGTTCGCACTCTCTGGGTTTTAGAAAGAACGGGAAGACGGAGTCCGGGACGTTTGGCCAAGCTGCTGAGTCATACTGGCACGGACGCTCTCCGCCGGGTGGTGCCGTCATCATCTGTGTTCGAGATTGATGAGAGTTTGGTTTGGGGCGGGTACGGGCAGTCCAGGGGAGTTCTGGCAGAGGCTCCGAGCGAGGATGGGGGTGACCGCAGAGTGGGGCTCCCCTCCCCCCAGCCGAGGTCAAAGCAGCCCAGGCGGAGAAAGCATAGCCAAGGTGGGGTGTGGCGGGTGGGGTGGCCTGTCGCAGTTCGGTCTGGCGGGGCGCTCCTCTGTGAGCTGCTGCCTGCTGTGGTCGTGTTAGAGGGAAAACATGCATCATCACGTGTGCACACATATGCAATGTATGCACATACTTTACATGCGCGTACAGCACATGCCATACATCACAACACACACAATGATGTACCCACAACACATACACATGTACATGTAATACACACACACACACCCCATGTATGCACATGCAAAGCACATCAAACCTGCATGCATACCCACAACGCACAAGCACACACAACATGTACACACACACATGTCTTCAGAATACCCCCGCCAGGCCTGGAGACTGGTTTCCCCTCTGGGAAGGGGAGCCCGCGGGAGGTCGGCCGCATGCGAGGCGGCCGGGCCCAGAGTGCATCCCCAGCCGCAGCCCTTGGTCTTGTGGGGGGGGGGGGGGCGGCGGCGTGGGAGTGCAGCGAGGCCCAGGAGGGCGGCCGCACGGAGGCAGACAGACGCCATCGGGACCCCTCGGGCTGGGCTACGCTGAGGACATGTGGGCAGAGTTTAATCCGTCTTCGAAGAGCATGGATTAGATCAGAGTTGTTTACCAGAAGCAGGCAGAGCCTCTTAGAAGCCGAGGGAAGGGAGGCAGAGACAGAACGCAGCCCCGTGGTGTGGATAGAAGGGTCTGTACATCAACACCCCGTTCTGGGAACGGGGCCGGCGCTGCAGCGGCGCGGGGAGGAGAGTGCCGGGTTTCTCCTGTTTCGACACCCTCTGCTCGGAGCCCGGCAAGCCCAGACCCAGCCTCCCCCAGTCTCACACTTCTTTTTTCCCTACGTGAAACTTTGTCACTGTTGGTTCTAGTTCCACGGTGACTTGTCGAGGGTGCGTCCCCAGCCCCGGGGACGGGGACGCCGAGGTGAGGGTGGACGCACAGTCTGATGAGGAATGAGAGCCCGCGGAGTCTGTGTGCAGAACTCCTAGGAGTGCGGGGCCGTTGGACACGAATGCTAACGCCCTCTTAGGAGGGGCACAGGCAGCCCCGAGGATGGGGTGCCTGAGCCAGACCTGAACCCTGAGGAGGGCGTCGCTCTGCCGAAGCTAGGGGCAGTGGCACCCGCGCGTGTTGGAGAGACTTGGGTGCAAGGGGCTCAGTGCGGCTGGAGGCGGGCGCGTCGGGGAGGGCGGGGCGAGGCTGGGGGGATGGGCAGGCCACGCAGGGCCTTGCAGACAGGGGTCAGGGCTTGGCCCACGAGCAGGGGACACTGTGGAGCAGGGCCAGGCGCCTGGGATCAGTTTTCCTGAGCGACTGCAGGGTGCGGGGTGCTCGTGGGGAAGGGTGAGAGGAGGAGCGGATGGCCCGGGCCCGTGGGAGCGTGCGGATGGTGTCCAGGAGGCCAGGGACTGGGCTGCAGACGTGCTCATGGACGCCAGAGCTGGGGCAGTGCCGGTGTGGACCCAGCGTGCCTGTGCGGACTGGGGAGACACGAGGGGGCAGGGAGAGATGGCGAAGCTGGTTCTCGAGGGCAGGGCAGCGGTCGGGCATCAGGCTCAGTCTGAGGAAGGAGAGACAGCACCGGCTTCCTAGCAGCCACTCCTCGTGGTCTCCAGGTGTCCAGACGTCCGTCCGTCTGTCTTGCCCGGCCTCCCTGTCTCTCTCTGTAGAACCATTCAGGATGAGAGTTTGGTTTAGGGCGGGTCTGGACTGACAACCGCCGGCCCCTGGGGAAGGGGTGTCAGGCTCCTGGAAAGACCAGAAACGGCGTGAGTGATCTCCAGGGTCCCAGATGTCCTTGCCTTCGCCTCCCGCGGGGCTGGCCGCCCCGTGATGGGCCACAGAGTGAGGCTGACGAAGGTCGGCCGGCAGCGCTGGCCGGGGGGCTCCAGGGAGTGATTTTGAAAGGATCCTGTTTTGAAATAAAATCAAAGAGCTGTCGGGCCAGCACAGGGAGTTTGCCCGTCAGCGGTTTCCTCGGCGTCACCCGTCACCGCTGACACTTCACCACGGTGCTTTGTCACGCTCCCCGCACGTGCACACGGAGCGGTTTCCCGACCGGTGCGCTGCAGGGTCCAGCTCCTCCGCCTCGGGACGCCCACGCGTGCGGTTCCCAGAGCGCGGTTTCCCTTCCGTTCCTGCAGCTCGGTGCCCGAGTTCGGGATGCTGAGCCTATGTGACAGAGGGTCCACTCTGCAGCCTCTCGTCAGCCCTCGCCTGCTCTGGTCGCAGTGTCGTCCCCATGGCGCTGTCTCCCAGGCCCCACCCGGGCCCTGGTCCCCTGTCCCCCCGCCGGCTGTGACCAGGGACACCTCCGCCGCGTGCTCTGATGGCTTTGGCAGTTGGGGCTCGGCGGTTCTGGAGAGCAGGCCCGCACCCTTGAGAGCGCTCTTGGAGCGGTGTGCCTGACCTCTCACTGCCGGTTCGAGGTGTGCATTTGGGGCAGGGAAGCGGGGTCCCGACGGTGCCCCCTGGAAGCCCGCCTGCTGCAGCGGGGGTGCAGAGTCTGTACCTGCGTCCCTCCTGGGGGTGGTGACCCATCGATGGCTGGTTTCTCTGCTCTGGTTTCCCTGCTCTGAAGCGACCTCCCTCTCCTCCTGCTGAGCCATGGGTTATTTAATTGCTTCTGGATACGCCCTGACTGTGTTGCTGAGCTCTGTGCCCGTGTTCTTACGAAGTCCCCCTTCCCCTCTCTTGGCAGTGTTTCCGAGCACTGTGCTGCAAGGGACCGCCACCTGCACGGCCGGAGTATGACCTGGTGTGCATAGGGCTCTCGGGCTCCGGCAAGACCAGCCTGCTGTCCAAGCTCTGCAGTGAGAGCCCCGAGCACGTCGTGTCGACCACAGGTGGGTGCCCGCGCCCGCCCCCCTGCCCCCCGTCCCCGGGCGGCCTCGCGGCCTGTCTGTTTGCGGGGTCCCCTCCCCTTCCCCTCTCCTCCCTGAGGTGAGGCTCGGTGCTTCCGTCCGCGTCCTTGCGTTGCAGGCCGTCTGCTTTCCAGAGCAGGTCTGCGGGGCTCTGGTGACGTTCAGCCGCCGCACCCTGCCTCCCTCGGCGGGGTCGTGCCGTGCCACCCGGTGAGCCACGCTCAGGAACCTGTCACTGCAGACTGACCTCACACCTGAATTTGGCTCCCGTAACTGGGGTTCCGCGGAGGCCCCTGGAGGGTCACGTCCCGTGAAGTGTCACCGTGCCTGCGTGTGCCTGTCACGCCGTCCCTGAGCCCCGCGACCGACGCAGCCCATGTCCTCTTCCCTCTGCGCTGTCGCCGGAGGCAGTGGGTGCAGGGACCCTGACCAGGGGGGCGGCGCTGTTCCCGGAGACGGCCCAGAAACGCCAGCCTGGGCCCTGGTGCCCCCTCGGGGACGCCCGGCAATGTGCGGTTGTCCCCTGCTGGGAAGGCAGCGTATTCCGACTTCTGCTGGGCACGGGCCGGGGATGGCTCCTCCGGCCCCAGATGCCAAGGGCTCCCCTGGAGCTTCTGTCCCCTGTCCCCACCCCCCGCCCCCGGACACTGGCTCTCCCCCCGGGAGTGGAGCAGGAGCGAGGGCGCGGAGGACAGAAGGCAGGGGAGGAGCGGCTGTCATGGAGGAGCTGGCCAGGCCGAGCCGTCGTCTGGGACAGCCAGGAAGATGGTCCATTCAGCCTGCTTTTCTTGAGTGCCTACTGTGTGCTACGTCCAGTGTCGGGACTTGGGAATGAGCAATGGCCCCAGCACTCAGGAGACTGTGTGTGCTGGCCACAGAGTCACGAAGTTCATGTCCGGAAATACACGGAGGAGGAGTGGTCAGCATCGCCTGGAACGGGGGAAGGGAAGGATGCACGATGCAATGTTCTAGGTCGGACCTTGAGGACCAGTAAGCCTGGGGACGGGCAGGAGTAGAGATTAGGATGGGAGGAGAAAGGGTTTGGGGGCCGAGGGAGAGCTGGAGCAAAGGCAGAGGGGCCTGGGACCGACGGGCACCGCCTGGGAGCCACACCGCTGTGCGTCTGCAGGGCACGGCTGGCAGAATGCCCGTGGTCGGATCACAAGAGATTGGCAGTGGCCACACCTTGGCCACCCTCTTACACTGCACCCAGGATGGGCGGGGGCTTCTGTAGGTCCTGCAGGGACATCTGGGCATGTAAGCCAGAAACCACATGATCCCATACCCACTGGAGAGGGTCCCACTCGCCTTGCTATGGAGGCCGGGCGTGGAGCTCCCGTTGGCTGTTCGTGAAGGCCGTGACCTCGGCGTGGGGCAGGGAGGAGGGAGGAGACAGGCTTCACTGGAGGGCGGCAGTGCCATCTGTGGCCGACAGGCCCCGCTGGGTTTGCAGGGTGAGAGTGGCGAGGAGCTGCGGCGGCCCTGGGCCTGGCTGGGTGCTGGGCGGAGGCGCGGTCATTGCTTGGGTCCCCTAAGTGGCAGGAAAAGTACGAGGTCCGAGAGCCGTCTGCAGTTTAGGCCGGGTTTTGCCGCCAAATACGTGGGAGAGAAACTGCAAGTGTCGAGAGCTGCTCAGACTTTAGAATCGTGGGGAAGGACCCGGGGGCCCGTGTAGAATCAGACACCCGGCTCGGATCACGGCCGAGGAGAGGAGTGGGGGGCCTCAGAGGCGGCGAGACCACGGAGTGGACGCTCGGGGCTGCGCAGAGCTGGCCCGTGACGCCATTCCCGGCCACTGCCCTCTGATCCCTCAGCCAGAACCGAGGGCTCCCTGTGCCCCGTCCCCCCACCGCACGTTGTCCCCTTTCCCAGCGTTTACTGCCCGCCGCCCTGCTGCAGATGTGCGCCCCTCCCCATCCTGGGGTGAGGGCTCCTCAGGACAGAGCGGAGCCCCGTACCTGGCTCTGCGCCCCCAGAGCCGGGCGCAGGTGTGGGCGCCATTACCAACACCTGCGAGTGCGTGAGCAGACAGCCGTACCTCCAGTCAGTGTTTTTACATCCGGCACCTCGGAGAGCCTCCCGGCGGCCGAGCGTGGCCGGTAAGGTCCTTTTTCCATAGTCTGTCTTCTGGTCGCCTGAGGCTCAGAGGTAGGGTGACGGGGCCATCTTCACATAGCAAGGGACAGCAGTGGGGTGTCCCTTCATGTCTTCCCTTGAAGTCAGGTGGGACCCGGGGCTTAGGGTGTCTGATACGAGTCTCTGTTGCTGTTTGGGAAATTGTGGGTATCTTTGAGAAGTGTGCTCTATAATTATACGAACTTTACTAACTTCATAATTCTTTTAAAGCAAAGTCACTTCCCCCCCAGAATGTGTAAGAGTGATACAGAGTAACTGTTCTTCATTTCGCTGAGCCCCAAATGGGAAACACTACAGCTAGACGCACAGTTTGGAATTATAATGTGAAAAAATGTAAACACCATGTTTGTCATTTATTATTTGTAAATGGCTGTAGAATATGTTTTGTATCTGCTTTCACTAGAGGTTTGAATGATATTTTCCTTTTCTTGGAAGCCGTTGTGATACTGTGTGCTAGTTGCTTCCTGATGAATTGGGTATCATTGGGCTGGCTAGCTTTCTGGGTATCAGGCTCCTGTGAGTTGTCATTTCTGAACCAGGCACAGTGCCCTCTGGGAGGCCTCTTTGGAGAACTCTCCATCCAGAAGTTTACACCCAGATTAGAAAGATAAGTATTCTAATGATAAACAGTTTACACTTACTGAACGTTTAATACGTGCCAGGTGCTAAGACAGAATGCGGTATGTGCTGTGCTCGGTGGTATAAATAAGGGAGTTAAAAGAGAAAGTGACTGTTTCTAACGGGGGGTGGAAGGAGGCCCAAGGGGTGGGCAGGCTGTAGCAGGGAGGAGTGGGGTGGGGGGTGCAGGGAGAAAGCGGAGGGGCGCTCTGACCGAGGGTGGCCTTGCTGGGCCGAGGCCCAGGATGCAGGGCGTGCTGTGACCCGAGGTGAGAGCCTGTAGGGCCACTGAGAGGGACCCGGGGCATGGAGAGGGGACCCAGCACGTGAGTTGTCCTGGGCATGGAGAGCTGGCCTCGGGTGTGACGGATCCCGCGGGGGACTAGAGCGCCCAGGGAGGAGGATAAACGCCAATCTGACCCGGGTTCTGGCCCGGGGGTTGAGTGCGTGGCAGGAAGGAGGGAAGACGGAGGGGCAGTGCAAGGTGAAGGACAGTGAGTTTGGGACAGGATGACAGTTGAGGTGCTGGCGGGCCTTCCAGCCACGGCCCAGGCGCCCGAGGCCAAGCTGGGGGGAGTCCGTAGCCCGAGCTGTGGGTCTGAGAGAGCGCTGCCTGTGGGCTCGGGTCAGAGGGTCGAGGGGCGCAGGGTGGGGAGGGGGGCGATCGCCACTCCGTCTGCACGTGCAGAGAGCCCGTCCCGGGGCCGGGCCACTGTTTAGCGCTGGGGACGCGCTGACGAGCGGGCAGATGAGAACCCCTGCCCTTGGGAGCTCGCGTGCCAGCCGCTGCACTAGACGGGGGTCGGCCCCAGGCCGTTCCACACTCCATGGCGTGAGGCAGCCGTGAACAAGGGTTAAACGGTGTAAACGCGGGTCTACGACCTGAGCGGGGGCCCCTGCAGCTGGGGACAGTGCGGTGACCGAGGGCCGATGGCAGAAGTGGCGGACGAGGGTTAGCGCAGGAGCTAACCCGAGGCCCCATGGGCGGGGGGCAGGCGGAGGCCGCGAGGCGGAGGCTGCCCTTCTCCCTCTCTGGGCCCTCGACAAGATCGCACATAGATTGCTCTTTTGGGAGGTCGGACGGGAAGAGGGACAGTCGTGTCTAGGGCTGAGTTTTACAAGGGAAGGTGCCGCGCGGGCAGGTTGGCAGACCGAGGTGTGAGGGCGGTGGTTGGGGAGAGGGCGGGGCCGCAGATGCGGAGGGGGCGGGGCCGCAGATGAGGAGGGGGCGGGGCCACAGATGCCGAGAGGGTGGGGCCGCAGATGCGGAGAGGGCGGGGCTGCAGATGCGGAGGGGGCGGGGCCACAGATGCCGAGAGGGCGGGGCTGCAGATGCGGAGAGGGCGGGGCTGCAGGCCCGTTGGAGGACTTGGACGCTGAGGCCCACGCTGGCTGACGCTGAGGCAGACGCTGTTGCTGACGCCGACGACCACGACGCAGACGACCACGACGCAGACGACCACGACGCAGACGCCGGGGGCTGCCAGCCGGCTCCCTCTCCCGCCGAAGTAACTGAGGGAAAAACCGGACAGAATACACGAAATTGTTTCCCAAGAAAATGCGTGTCGAGCCGCCAGGTCAGCCGTCCCGAGCAGCGAGGGGAGCCAGCGCGCGTTTGTCGGGGTGTGTGTGTGTGTGTGTGTGTGTGTGCGTGTGTGCGCGCTGGTGTGTGTTAGAGAGGGGGAAACTGGGGCGGGGGAGAGGAGGGGAGCAACACCCACGTGAGGGGCCACGCGGACCGGCGGCCTCTCCCGTGCGCGCCGGCCGGGCGCCAAACCCTCGGCCCGGGCCTGTGCCCTGGCCGGGAGCCGGGCGGCACGGCACCCCCCCCCCCCGGTCGGGGAGACGGCCCTTCTCCGGAGCCCCGTCCCCCGCGGGCGGGGGGGCGGGCACAGGGGGGAGGGGCCGGACCCCGGGTGGGGACGCACAGCGCCGCGTGCAGAGAGAGGTGTGCCACACGGGGGAGTGTGACACAGGTGAGACACACACCGCAGTCTCGCCCGCCCGCGCGGCCCCCGCCCGTGCAGCAAAAACACGTCTTGCGGGCCGGGCCAGTCACCCCGGAGGGGTGAGAGCCGGAGGAGGGGAGCCCCGCCACCGCTGCCCGCGCCTGCAGCGAGGAGTCCTCGGGCCGTGGCACGGCCCCGGGGGGGCGCGCGGGGGGGGGGGCTGGGCGGGCTCCTTGCCCTGACCCCGGGGTGAGGGGGGGGGCGGAGTTCAGGGGACTC